CGTAGCATATCGGTCGGTTATCGCGCGTCCTCCAAGAATTGGCTACTGGTGGTGCCGCCCAAGGTGCAGTATAAGCAGCCGGGTGTGCGGGCTGTGAGCGCGAGGTATAGGGTGGTTGCGGAAGCCTACGCACAGCGTCTGCATATGTGAACGGCGCTGCTACAGGCTGCATCACTTGCGAGCAGGCGACAGGAGGAGCCACAGGCTGCGCTGCATACGTTAGGGGCGCGGCCACAGGCTGCACGGCTGGCGGATAGGCGACAGGAGGGCCTACCAGCTGCGCGGCACTCTGGCAGTGGGCAAGGCTGGATAGAGGCGGCTCGTGGTGCGCAACAGGAACAGCTTGGGCAACCTCTTCAGAAATAGCAGTGCGAAGCGGGGCAGGTAGACGGGTGGTGGTCTCGTGAGTGAAGGGCACTAGGGAAAGTTGGCGGGCGACTTCCTCACGGACGAAGGCTCGAACTTGCTGAAGCAGCGGTGAATTGTCCGGCAGGGTGTCGAAACTTCACAGTGACTGACCACCATGCTGAGGCTGCCGAGTCAGAGTGCGTTGCTTGTTCAACTCGTCGTAGCTCTGACACAAGCTGACGACTTCGGAAACTGTGCTCGGATTCCTTGCCAAAAGCATTTGAAATGCGCCGTCGTCGATGCCCTTAAGGATGTTTTTAACCTTGTCAGATTCGGGCATGGTGTCATTCACACGTCGGCAAAGGTCGACGACGTCCTCAATATAGCTGGTAAAGGTCTCGCCAGTCTGCTGAGAGCGGACGCGCAAGCGCTGTTCTGCCCTCTGCTTGCGGACAGCCGGCCGACCGAACACTTCAGCACATGATGTCTTGAAGACGCTCCATGTGGGGATGTTGTGTTTGTGGTTATTAAACCACAATTCGGCGACGCCAGTGAGATAAAATATCACGTGGCCCAGCTTGTCGGCTTCATCCCACTTATTGTTGGCGCTCACCAGTTCGTAGTGCTCGAGCCAGTCTTCTACGTCGGTCCCATCCGCACCGCTGAAGACCTTTGGCTCCCGTAGCCTGGGATGGCCAGGGCAGTTGAACTGGAGCGAAGGCGTCGATGTAGTGGCGTTGGTAGTCATGACAGGTGGTAGCGTGCGGCTTCGCAGTTCCAGGGTGTAGCAACGGGGATTAACAGCACCTTCCACCAAATGTGAAGAGGTTTATTAGCCGTTAAAGGCAGCGACGAGACAGCGTGATGAACCGTCCAGCGATCGGCACAGCAACGAACCGAAGCACGAGCCGAGAGCGCCGGGCGTTGGCGATGCTGCTCGCTGCAGGCACATCTTCTTCTTCACATATATATATATATATATATATATATATATATATATATATATATATATATATATATATATATATATATATATATATTGAAACAATACATTTATTTTGGTTTCTTGAAGCCCTTTGGAAATGCTGGTGAAGTGCACGTGCTATCGCAGCCAGAAAAAAGACTTCAAAATCTTACACTGGTAAAACTAACATAGATGCTTCTAGAACTGTGAGATCTGCTGCATGCCAGTGTGAAACAGGCTTTAGTGGTACATGCAGTCACACTGTTGCAACATTTAAGCGGCTCGTAATGTTTTAAGAAAGCAACTGCAAAAAGTTTCCGTTTGAAGTTACTTGCACAGAGCTTCCACAGCAATGGTGACGTCCCCGGTGCAGCTCGCTTATGCCTCTGCCACTCAACTTTGTGGACTGGAGAAGTTTGTGGCCAGGTGGGCTTTCAGGGCCTATAAGCGCGCGTACATACCACGCAAGACACAATATGCCTTCATTTGAAGACATTGTCTAGAAAACAAAAACTCTTGGTGATGAACTTGTTGAGGTGATGTCGTCAGCTTTTTCAAGTATGCAGCAAAAACCAATATAGAAGTATGTAGGACCAGTGTTGGGCCGACTGCTGTTATAGCCCCCTACAATACCCAAGGCCCCGGGTTCCGCATGGGTATGAATTACTTTTACCCCCAGAAATACCATGTGTATTGGTGGCATCACCAGTGCCATCTCCACCTGAACTGCTCAAAGGGTCACAACCTTGGCTTCATGATCCCCAGAGCTTTGATGCCGGCCAGGCGACCATTCTGAAGGTACATATTCTTGTGGGCATGCTTATACAACCTTGATGTTTGTTTATTTCAGTACCTATCTATAGTAGCCCAAATGTATTACAGTAACCAGGTATGTAACACAAAAAAGCAAGCAAATGCTAAAAGAAAAGAACGTGTGTTGAATCAGCAAAATTCTATAATACAAAAGAGCAGAATACCGGAAGTATAGAAAATGTGTAATAATGTAGTGGATCTGTTTGAAACAAAAGATTGCGTACTACAGAAAAGTCTCTAAGAAAAAATACAGGCTGTTTTTTACAGGGAGCTGATTATGCCGGCATAGCTTTATGCATTCAAGATACGGTTGCTGAAAGGTGGAAGGGAACACTTTTCACAGACCATGGTAATAACATAACATAGAAGGCGATTTAAATGCTTGACAATAAATAGGAAATAAAAAGAAATGAAAAGACACGTCGGGAGGGTTATTTATTCATCTTATAACTCTCCAACGCTCATGTCGGTCTTGTTTTCTGTTGGTGCCTTTTGTTTCAATTTTATTTTAACAATCTTCTTTGTGTGTACTTTTTTTGTTCATTATTTATGCTTTACATCTTATTTACACCACTTAGAAGATTTCATTTGTATTTCTATGTTGATTAAAATTACCCAAGTAAAACTCAACATGATAGTTTGCATCCGCGATAACTTATATCTGCTACCATAACTGCAACTTGTAGGGAAAGCATCAGGGAGCACTGAATGCATGCATGGTGGGTTAAGCGGTTAATTCTAAATGTCTATATAGCTGTCACCTGAATTTAATGAATATTTAGAAGTTAGTGGTGTGTGCGCAGGTTTCCTCATTCTTGATCATTTTCTGCACCTTTAAGCTTGCAGATTTTACCTAAAAACTGTGCTTATATTTAGGCTTAAATGCAACATTACTATGGGTTGCACGTGAGAATGTTTGCTAGATAATTCTTGGTGTGTACAAAATAACACGAAACTTGCATATGTACCTAAAAGAAAATGGTTGCGCACGAGATCAATGTCTTGATGCACAAATGATTCACTACTTCAATGTTTATCTGTTCAGGGTTCGGAGGTTTCATGCGATGAAGCCATTGAGCTCGAGAAAATCACAAGGCGAAAGAGTGAGAGTGACACCTGGAAGAAGACCCGCCTTCATCATGTGACGGCTTCCTCATATAGAGTTTTGGTGAAAAGATTCCTGATATGGAGTTGCGGTGAAAATATTTACATGGACTGAGAAAGGCCTGCGCAATCTCTCCACACACAAAGACTTGTCCCGTGTGCGGGCTATTCAGTAAGTGATTATCTTGAGTTTATTCTCGCACATTAGGTAAAGCTTTAATGTGAAATAGAGTACAAATGAAACAACTGCATGAGATGAACATATTTGGCTTTTATGGTAGATAACAACGACCAATGGGTCATTGCTTGAAGTTTCACAGCATCCTGATTTGGGCTAAATGCTTAAAATGCCGACACGTTACACCAGTCGCAGAAGCATAAAATATGAGTAAAATTGCAACACCATGATGTAAAAAAGTTGGGGCGTTCACCGGGTTCTGCATAGCTTGGAATCAATAAAAAGGAAGTACATTGTAATCTGTGGAGGCCGTTGACAGAGCATACAAAGTTCAGATAATTTCATCTATATAACGCCACAAAAATAGCGAAAATAAATTTAGAAATTTCTTGCGTTACGCACGGAAGTTTGGGCGCGAAATTTAAAAATGAATATTTATCCTTGATTTTCTCCGCTAACAATGAACTCATGATAGTGAAATATGCGGCATTGAGAGCTCTCTGATTGCAGTTTGTCAATATAAACCATATGTTGGCTTAAATTCTGCAGATCACTCATACTCATTCATGAATTATACTTTACTCTTAGACTAACTCGGACTCAGTCTCAATAAAATTTTTTTGAGCCGTACTCATTAGGACTCAATCACAGGGAAGTTTTCTTCAAACGGGCTCATCCGGAGTCAAACTCAACAAAATAATAATAGATTCATTGCTCAATATGAGCCTGAGTGAGTAGACTCATGAGTTCATAACTCTAGAATTAGCGATTTCTATCATGGTGTCGATGCTATTTAACACCAATATCTCACGTAATCGGTGCTCTTCTTAGCACCTTTTGATATAGTACGTTCAAATACGAGTTATGAGTGCATGGTTGTAAACCAGCAAGGACAATTTTATTGAAAGAGATTGCAACATAAGACACATTTATCAAGAACTTCCTCAGCAGGCTGGTTGAAGGTTAGTAGAAAGCATCCATTTATGTAATTCACGCCTGTAAAAATAAAAGGAATATTCATGAGTAGATGTGAGTATAAATATGAAACCAGGTAAGGCTTTGAGTGCATGGTAAAGAACCCCTGGTGGTCGAAATTTCCGGAGCCCTCCTCTACGGCGTCTCGCCTAATCATACGGTGGTTTTGGAACGTTAAACTCCCCATATCAATCAATCCAGGTAAAGCTCACAGTAATGCTGAAGATGGGTAGAAAGAGGTATAAGTCAGCAAACATAAGTGGAACTCACTCAGACTCACTCAAGAAATATATTATCTTGTGCACAACTGACTGGGAATCAGACTTGCCAAAATTTTCCCCGAGTCAGATTCAGTTTGACTTGCACTCGCTAAAATTTTCTTCCACCAAACTCACTCGGACTCAAACTCACCAAAATATTACTCACCTGAACTCACTCAGACTCACGGATTTATCTGAGTCTGAGCGAGCCCAAGTGAGCCGACTCACGAGTGAGTTCGCCGACCTATGATCTAAACTAAGTCATTGATTCTCTTTTGTGCCCCTTTAAAAAAGTTAGCCAAAAAGTCAGCTGAATATAATTTTTTATTCAGAGCATGGCACTAACTTTTTTGTGCAGGTACACCATCGCTAACGAGCAAGGAGCTGTGCAACGTAACGTCTCAACGTTGCGCGCAAGGGGCCACAACATAAAAGTATTTCGCAATGGCCCATCATCGTGGAGCCCTCATGCCCAAGGCTAGGAGCATCGCCGGATGGTCTAGTTTTTGACCCAGCTGAAACGCCTCCTCACGGCATTGTTGAAGTGAAATGTCCCTACAGTTTAAAGGATAAATTCATTGATGAAGTGGGGGACCTAGAGTACATGAAAAAAGACAGCCGCAGCATACTCAGGCTCAACCGTAGCCATGACTACTATTACCAGATGTTAGGTAAAATGGCTTTGTCGCAGGTCCAGTGGGTCGATTTTGTCATATTTTCTGAGAGGTTCGTTATCATTGACGGAATTCGGTTTTGTGAAACTGACTGGACTGTTACTAAGGGCAAGCTTGACAGCTTTTTAAAGACGATAGCCTTTCTTGGGAACCTTCGACGCCAAAATTTTGGTTTGTCTGTCTGTCTGTCTGTCTGTCTGTCTGTCTGTCTGTCTGTCTGTCTGTCTGTCTGTCTGTCTGTCTGTCTCTCCGTCCGTCCGTCCGTCCGTCGATTTGTCTGTACCTAAACTGACCAAATGATACCTCAAACGGCAAACCCCATCCGAAGCGCCCACCAATATTGCTCAAGTTTCAGCGTTCATACTTGTGCGATTGTCAATTAAAAAAGCAATTATTGTGTATATTTGAGACACCATAACAACACGTCGATGTTTTGTATATGTGCCTTTATTCTAGAGAAGGCACGCACTAGTTTTTCTACGGACAGTAGCGTGTATCACACTGCGCTGACAGTGCAATACGATGCTCAAAAAGGCAAGTGTTTCCAACGCTTTGCTAAGAGGACAAGGTGGTGGCACCTGCCCGTCACTAGCGTTCTGCTCCTTATCGCCTCCGAGACAGGCATCTTTCTCCGCTGGCGCGCACGCCTTCCTTCGTTTTCGAAGATAACTGCCAGTTGGCACTCGCGTCTAACGTGCCTTGTTGCGCTCACTAACCTTCGCTGCATGGATCAAGACTCTCTAACGCAGCGCTTCGAGAATACAATTCACCATTTTCTCGTGCAGAACATCAAACAAACGTTTCATTCAGTCTCTTCACTCGCAAGATATTCATCTTTCGGCAAAATTTGCAGTAAAATACCCAGATACGGGGCCATTATTTTTTCACAACTTTATTGCCATTTAGAAGTGTGGCAGCTTGGGCTAGTTGGTATGGCATGACGATAGTTAAAGCGCGAAAACGAAACGACGACACAGAGACAAGAGAACACGTCTTTCGTGTCCTTCTTGTTGTCTCTGTGTCGTCGTTTTGTTTTCGCACTATAACTATCGTCTATTGCCATATTTGGCTTCGTAGAAAGGTGACATTTAGTGTAATGTACAGTACTCATGGATTGAAACAAGACACTCGGGGCGTGTGGCGGACGATACATGTGCCGCCGCTCGTGGGTGCGCGTAGAACCAATGTGTTGCATTTTAGTATAGAGCGAGGGGAAGAACACCTACGGAGCAGGATTAGTCCTTCAAGTCGCCAATGTATCGGCCTGTAATTCATCATGTGTACACTGCCAGCGTGGCGCAGCAAGGCTCACGCACATTCGCATGTCGACCGCACTAGGTCGCCGCTGCGCACCACTTTATAGAGGCACCAGCAGACAACCCTCTCGTTCTGCGCGCTTAGGCGATGCGGTACGCATACTAGTGGGCAAGAAAGACGCAAGATGGAGTTAGGATATTGTGCCTGGCGTGGTTCGTATACCTAATAAACATTTGCATAAAACATTGAAAGTTTTCTTCGTGCTTTCTGCCTCGACAAGAAAGAAAATGAGTGGCAGGCTTGTCTTCAGTCAACGTGGAAATAATATCATGTATTAGTGTCGCTAGGTCAAACTGTGGCCTATTTGTTGAATAAATACGGCGGAAGCTCACTCGTTCTTCCGTGACCGGCAGCTTTACAAATAATACCATGCAGAATAGCCGCTATATTGGCTGCACGAGGCGAAACAACTAAATACCAAGTGATTGTTTTAATACTGCGCGTAAACAGGCCCGTGGCTGCTGCTTTTCCCTTTCGTCGCGACAAAAAGCTTGACAAACTGCTTTTGTGCAGCTGTTATAACGTCTACGAGCATATGTCAGGCGCAATATCTTAGCTGTATCCCATATCTTACTTGCGCAGCCTACCTGCCTCATCGTTGAAGGGCGCGGATCGAGAGCGTCGTCTTTTTAAATAGTGCCCACCGTCCCCTCACTTCGAGCTCCATGCTTGCGAAAGCACGCGGACCTTGCACACCCACGCTGACAGTGCGCGCTTCGTGCCAACTCTTTAGCGACCGGAAGGAGTAATCCTGCTCTGTCGGTGCTCTCTCCCTCACTCTATACCACAATGCAACACCCTGGTTCCGTGAACGCCCACGAAGGGCGCCACATGACCTGGAGGCCACGCGCTACGAGTTTTCTGTTTCAATCCGTGAGTACTGTACTTATTTGTGTTAACTATGTTGTGTTATCGGTGATACCCGCTGAAATTGCGGGTATCACCGATAACCAACTGTTCCGTGCTGCCTTAGCCAATATTGTATATGCAGAAATATCTGATGTTTAATCTGTGTTTGTGTGACCACATTGTTGCGATAATACTAATTTGTTTTGTCTTTCCTTTTCCTTTTTATGTACACAACGTTTTTTGTAACCATGCTACCTCATGTTATGCCTTTGTTCTGTACCACTCCCCTCTGTAATGCCTCTGGCCCTGAGGGTGTAATAAAAAAAAACTGGCTGAAACTTCGACTATAGCCAAAAAAAAATAATTTGAGATGTGTGTAGCATAAAATGTTGACGTCTACGTTGCAAAAGTTTTTGTACATGTTTAGTCGCAAATTTAGCATGTCCTAGTTTGCACATTTTCTTTGCAAAAATATTTCGCCGGAAGACTTCTTACTTTAAATGAATAGTCCTGAATTTTTCTGGTTAATTTGCAGATGGTCAAGCACCACGGCGACGCTAGGCATGGAATGACCCATATTTCTTCAGCGAGACTGAATGACCTGAGTGAATAAACTTTACTTCATGATCCGGCAGGTTTATGGTCTGTGCTAAAACACGCAGGAAAGTACCAGCAGACCTTGTCTTCATACAGCCTCCTGGCCTGCTGGATAGCCCATTTTTGGTCTTGGACCTCCGAGCTGAGCAGCACTAGTGGCTACCACTCCTGGAGGGCCTCAGGAGAACACGTTGATATTTTGGGGCATTCCCACAATATATGCTTATAAGGCGCTCTGATATGCATAGCTTGCACTTATTGTCGGGTATGAGTGTGGGTAGCTCGTGTTACCGTGCACAGGGTCAGGGTAGGGGTAGGTAGGCGTTTGTCAGAAGCTTTCTGTAATTCAGATGATTGTTGCCTGTCTAGACTCGGATGAGGTGCGGGAAAAGACGTGCCTTGCTTCTGTCGAATTATTTCACAAACACGTGGTGTTATGTATTGAACATCAGCCCTATGTAGGCTCGCGTTTACAGTCGTGCTTGCTCGCACTTCAAAACACTAGAGTTCACAGACTAGCTAAATATTTATTGGTCAGAGGTTTGAGTTTTGAAGGGGGTGTGCTATGAGCACTCTGCTCCCTAAACACTTTCATGGAAATTGGTCAATAAAAATATATTCTGTGAGTCGTCTTTCAATAAAATGTTCTAAATTAATAGCAACCACTTACAGCTTGTATCTGAAAAAAAACGTGATCAAAGGATACTATATAGAGCGCTGAATATGTGAGATATTAAGGTTGAAGAGCATTGACAGATATCATAATAGGAAAAGCAAAATTTTTGGGAGTAAGCACTGTGAAAGACATGGACAGAGACACATAGCCTGTGTGGCTCTTCACTCTGTACTCGAAAAAGTTTGATTATAAACCAACTCACCCAAACTAAACTTCTGCAAAAAGGCTAAGTATGCCTTAGCATGAACATAGATCGACTAACTCGGATCGGGCAGAGTCTAAGTTTGAGTTCATGTCTGTGTGGTCAAGAAAATATTGGCCAGTTCAAGCTCAAGAGAGCTCTAAATGCAGAATCTTTTTGAGCGAGTCTCAGTGAGCCCCACATTTTGAGCTGACCTATGCTTTTGTGCACACCATGTGCAGCGATGAAAATTTATTATTGTGGTCACAGCAGCTTACGCTGTTCGTTGACTGTATGTTTGTGCTAAGCCAAAGAGGTAATTAGGGCCCCTTTAATAAGGCGCACCAAATAGAACAAGAGTTCAACAATAATGCAGGAATTTTAGGTACTTTCATGTCACTTAGGAAAACTCATCACACAATGCTGAGTGCTCAGTTTGAAATGTGAAATTGTTCTCTTGCCTTCAGTCAAAATCTTGAGACAAAAAAACACCTTAACTCAGTTCACTCATCTAGTGGACGCACGATCGGAGAATGGAAGTTGGTCAGCAATGCACACTATACTCACTTCATTGATGATTGGACCCAAAGACAATGGAACGGGTCGGTCAAGTATATGGAAGTTCTTAATTCACTGTATACGCCTCTCGACGTCAACTCGCAGTGATGCAATTTCTTCTGTTTCTCTCGCCTCGTCCTCATTAAATTGGCCTCTTGCAAAGCGTGTTCAGCCTAACGTTGATGTCATTTAGCATATCTTGAATCTTGAATCCCTTATCTGCCATCACATTGTCCCCTTCATCAAACGCAAGTGTCAGGAAATCACTGCAGCCTCACACATTCCTTGTCGGATATGGAGCCTGGAAAAAGATCTGAAACAATTGTTAGTGTGCCATCAGAAGATATGCCAATCAATTCCTTGAAAAGGTTTGCCGACTTGTAGGTCGAGAATGTTGCAGATTGCAATGCCAGTGAACTAGACACTCTACATTTAATTTACGTGGCATCTAAGACGACTTTCATTGAAGGATACTTTTGTTTGAATGCAGCTGGTATTTCTTCTCGGACCTGTTCTTTTGACATTCATAGTGATGGTTGAGCCAAATGGAGGAATGTGCCATTTGTCCCCGTGATGCATATCTCTGAAAGTGTGGCAATGGTCATGCAAAACCTGTCTGCAAGATCTTTATCAACAACCCAAGGCGCAATCGAACAAGAAAAACGATCATTTTCTACTGCTAGGCTTCGAGGCCTATCTGCATGGGATGTATCCGTTCGAAGCCCCGTGGGCAGAACTTTCACGTTTTCTCCTTTATCTCCGGGATTCATAAACTTCAACACGTATTGGAACACTTCATATGATGGCAAGCCCGTGTAAACGAGCATTTCCTCGCTGCTGTGCCTAAAGCACTGAACTGAAAAGTGCCCTTCAACTTTCTTCTGCAGCTCTTTTTTTATTTCCTCTTTTGCCAATCAAGTTCTCTTTGTACACGAAGGAGCTCTTGCTTGGCATGATTTAGTTCTTCTATTTGCTGTCTAGCTTGTTCCAGTTCGAGCTCCTTGTACACAAGCTTTCCTTCAGTGGACTCCAGCTTTGTCAATATCTTCCCCAATCATCCTCCTTTTGCCTCGGCTTCTACTTGTTGGTGGCTTTGGCTGCACGTGGGTGATGGCAATTCTACAGCACTGCTCATCTCGATAGTTTGATGTGAACCTTCACTTGTTTCGTCTTGGAAGCGTATATGTAAAGAAGTAGCCACAGTGTCTGCAGCCTGCACTTGACATACTGCGGAAGGTGCACCACATTCCTTGGGTGGCTTTCTTTTTGTTCGTGCTTGCTTAAATAAAAAAGTAAATATACTTGGCACAGTGTCTTGTTTCAGACCCCTTTTCCTAGAAGCGTAGCTGGGTGAAAGTTAGATTTAGTGAAATGCTTCAACATACTTTTGTGTGGGAAGCAACAGTAAAATGTTTGTTTTCATCCCTTCACACAGCAACAATCCAGTCCTTTCGCGGCAATGGATCTCGTGGAAACCCCAAAAATTAGACCTGCAAAAAATTGCATGTCATTAGTAAAATGATCATGAGAGGCCACATGGCTCAGTCGGGGACATTACGTGAGGAGTAGGTCTGTAATGCTCAAAATATCTCGTAGCAAATAGATCACAATAACTATTCTGATGGACATAGGCGTGCTCATGGGGAAGAGTGGGGGGGACAACCACCCCTTGGTCACCTAAGAAGAGAGGATGCAAAGGTGGCCTTACTCAATTGCTTAATGCGGGGAGGGCACTGCGAAAAAACGTCGCTCCCCGCCCTCCCAACTCAAGGGGAAGCTTGCGTACGCTTATGCAAGTGAACGAGACTAAACGCGCTTCCAAATACGCATATAGGTATGCCATTGATAGAGGTGCTACTTTATTCTGCGTTTCCGCGCGGCACAACCAAAGTGTTGTTTATAAGGTTGTTGCTTACGTGGGCAACAGCTAAAAGTACAGCATACTTCCCATTCATACCTGTCCAGAGAGACTATATCTTAACCATTAAAGAATACACCACGTGGATACTGGAGTAACTACATGCATTGCTCGAAGCCTCACCACGGTGGTCTAGTGGCTAAGGTACTCGGCTGCTGACCCGCAGGTCGCGGGTTCGAATCCCGGCTGCGGCGGCTGCATTTCCGATGGAGGCGGAAATGTTGTAGGCCCGTGTGCTCAGATTTGGGTGCACGTTAAAGAACCCCAGGTGGTCGAAATTTCCGGAGCCCTTCACTACGGCGTCTCTCATAATCATATAGTGGTTTCGGGACGTTAAACCCCACATATCAATCAATCATGCATTGCTCGAAAGTAAACTTGTAATTCTAAGCTCAAAGTTCAACACGAGGTTCAGATTTCTGCTCCACAGGAGTTCCGAAACATTTTTCGTCCCTCTGCCAGCAAACACAAAGTACTGGCGACACATTTTGTCGCACGGGTGTCACGACTGATCGCGATGAAAACTGATTTAGATCTCACTTTTTGATCATAGTTGAGTCCTTTGCGTAAGCTGCAAAAGGTAGCTAATCGCTTTGCAGAAGTTTCATCCGTATTCGCTCCTCAGAATAAGTAGCGCACAGGCTCAGCATTCGAAGAGGTGACAAATAACAGCACGGCATATTAATCAATACGGACGCAGATACGAGTCCTACCACATGCATCACTACACTGTCCAAAGTAAGCACGAGCTAGTACACGTTTGTGTTTATGACGGTAAGCTGCTAACGCATTTTCACTATTTCATTCACTATTCAAACATTCACTATTTCATTGCATCAATAGACTTACGCGCGTGTACGAACCTTCTTTCCGTGCTCCTCTCTGACGCGCCGTTGACTGCGGAAGAGAACATGGCAACACGATGGCTTTGCCAAGGCTCGCCTGCTGATCATAATTGTGCATAGAAAACTGAGCAAGAGGGATTGCAGCGAGTCAGAGCATGCTTGCAGCGATAACCGCGTGCTGGTATCAGCATACCGCGCATCATCGTGGGTGAACAAGACATGACAGAAAATTATTATTTTAGTTTTGTTTGATAGGTGGCGCTGAATTTATCAAACGTTATTTTAAAACTTCCTACTATGTACATAAAGATGACGCAAGGATGACAACAACAAATAGTGGCAGCCTTAGTGAACAGATATTAATTTTGAAATTCCTTGGCAGCTGTCAAGGCTGCTTGAAACTCCGTTGCAAACTGCCCTTAGGCGGGCTTGTTGTCGGGAAAGAAATGACATTAATATCAGTAATAAAGTGTTTTAGAACATCAAGGAAACGATCAGGTGTCGCATAATGCAAATTGCGCAAAGAGTAGATCGCGGAACGCCGCAATAGTTTACAAAAGCTCGATCTTGATGACATATTAACAGTGGCGCTTGCCCACTTTGGGGGATTGTGGGGATGACGAAAGCTTCTGCCATAATTATTCATCGTCGTCAAGCACAACACAAAAAAGTTGCACTAAGTTCCTTGCGAGTGTGCAGCATGTACCACGCTTCTCCGAAGAATGCTCATCAGACTTAATTGTTTCATTCTACTTCTACGAACTCGTGCGTTTGTGTGGATCTATGCAGGAAGTTTACCTCGCAGTCCAGTTGGCTACCGCTCGCTTTTCCATAGAATACTTGTACACAGTATCGCGCGAGGTATACTGTATAAGGGTCTACTGAGCATGCTCTTCCCGCCTTCGATGTAGCGTTCATTGGACCCCAATATTTCAGAACACGTTGTGTTGAAACGAGTGAACAAAATGTACAGTGTCAGTTTTTATGAAAGGGAACATGGCGACGCGTGGCCTGCGCGCTCCAGCGGCTGCTGGCAGCGCGTTCAAGCGGGAGCAATAGCAACCACATTCTCTTCTCGCGTCATCTCACGGCGAGCCAAACAAGATGTCAGTGGTGATGTAGAACCGCTGGCAGATTGCAACTCCCTCCTCCTTCAAGGCGATTACCGGCTTTCGTGTAATCGCCGTCAATGGGGAGGGGGTCCAAATCTTGCTGCTGGTTCCATATCAGCAACGAATGGTTGTTTTTCTCGCCGCGAGAGGACGCAAAAGAAACTGTGGTTGCTCTCGTTGCCACTTGAACGCGCTGCCAGCAGCCGCCGGAGCGCACAGGCCACGCGCTCCAGCGTTGCCTTACATAAAAATTGACACTGTACATTCCACCGAATTCAGAAACATTATTTTATAATCTCTATTGTGAAATATTTTCTGTTATCACATGGTTAAAACGAAAAGTTATTTTTGTTCCTTCTGTTAACTGTCGTGAACGTAATGTGCCGGAAAAGACAGAAAATGGCTTTTTTAGCAGCAATGACGCTATTCTGTTTAGGGATGTCCTTCAAAGAGTACTGAAAAAAAGTGTTTCATCCTTAATTCTCACACCATACGTTATCTTCTCTTACAGCATCGCTTGATGAAGTACCATATAACATGTTTTTTCTCATGGGCATGCACAGCTTACGGAAGACGCGTATGCAGAAATGTAATTCAGAACCCACCACCTCTTCAAGCAAACACTTCAATCAAATTGCTATTCACCTCAGGGATATTTATGACGACCTAGACAGTGGAAAGCAACAGAATAACAATGAAGAAGGGTGTAAGGCAGGGGAATACAATCTCCCCAATGCTATTTACCGCGTGCTTACAGTAGGTTTTCGGAGGCCTAGAATAGGTACAGTTCGGGATAAAAGTTAATAGAGAGTCCCTTAGTAACCTGCGCTTCGCCGATGACATTGCATTGTTGAGTAACTCAGGGGACGAATTAAAACTCATGATGACGGAGTTATACAAGGAGAGCAGAAAGTTGGGTCTTAAAATTAATCCGCAGAAAACGAAAGTAATGTACAACAAACTCGGAAAAGAGCAGCGCTTCAAGATAGGTAATAGTGCACTTCAAGTTCTGAAAGACTATGTCTACATAGGACAGGTAATAACCGCGGAGTCTAACCAAGATATTGAAATAACTAGAATATTAACAATGGGGTGTAGCACATTTGGCAAGCACTCTCAAATTATGACAGGCAAATTGCCACTATCCCTCAAAAAGAAGGTATATATCAGCTGTATTTTGCCAGTACTTAGCTGCGAAGGAAAAACCTGGAGACTTACATAGAGGGTTCAGCTTAAGTTGAGGACGACGCAGCAAGCAATGGAAAAAAAATGGTAGGTGTAACCTTAAGAGACAAGAAGAAAGTAGAGTGGATTAGAAAACAAACGGGGGTTAAGGATATTATAGTTGAAATCAAGAAGAAGAAATGGACATGGGCTGGGCATGTAGCACGTAGACAGGACAACCGCTGGTCATTAAGGGTAACTAACGGGATTCTCAGAGAAGGCAACTAAGTTAGGGGGAGACAGAAAGAAGGTTATGTGGGCAGATGAAATTAAGAAGTTTGCGCGTTTAAATTGGCAGCAGCAAGCAAAGGACCGTGTTAACCGGCGGAAAATGGGAGAGGCCTTTGTCGTGCAGTGGACGTAGTGAGGCTGATGATGATGATGATGATGATGATGATGATGATGATGACAGTGTACTGGTACTCCATCTTGCTGAGTTGCATGGCTTCACCTCTTTTCTTGTAGAACACGATGTGAAAAAACCTCGCTCTTGTACTACAAGCGGTGTTATCGAGTGAGTGTTTCTCAGTAACGCTTGAGCGGTTACTGTCGCCATATGATTGTATTTTTGTTTCATTTATTTTTCTCTGGCGCTTTCTAATGCTTTATAAAATATTGTGAAAAAGAAGCCCGGGTAGCTCAGTCGGTAGAGCGTTAGGCTTTTTAACCTAACGGTCTAAGGTTCGAGCCCCTGTTCGGGCGGTTTTTTGCCATGTTTTATTTTTTCCTAGGGCCATGGTATTTATCTATAGTCGGATACAACCTTAGAAGTCTGTGACATTTTCCACTAAAAGGCGGATGCATGCAATGCTTGCGCAAATAGGCACGCACTGCTGACACCTTGCTATTGCCCTTGTTCAGGGACACCAGAATACCGTAGTCGGATACAACTTCAGAAGTCCTGAGGCGCCCCGCTCAGATGACCGACTAAAGCACGGCAGCTGGTCACGTTCACCGCGACAGAAGAAGTCCCACTTAAATTCATTGTATATGCTTCCTCTATACAGGAGCCGTATACAGCATTTCCGGTCCCGGTAATGTAGGCTGCATCCGAAGGTGGAATCACCGGCCGTGCGGCTCGTGACGTTATTCAGGAGTGCCCGCTCATTTGTGAAGGCTTGAGTGCATCCGTCTTTGAGGAGGAAATGCCGTGGACTTCTATAGCTGTTTACCAATATAGCTATATGCCACATTCTTATAAAAGGAAATCATACAAAGATGGCTAACGAAATAAAAAAGACATGCTCGAGCATCGAGCAGGGGCTAGATCCCTATAGACCGTTAGGTTAAAAGCCTAACGCTCTACCGACTGAGCTACCGAGGCTGCAATGATGGGCGTCGTTATACCTCCGGAAATAAAAAATAAGGCAAAAAAGAATGGTTGAGCTTGCGTTATTATTATTATTATTATTATTATTATTATTATTATTATTATTATTATTATTATTATTATTATTATTATTATTATTATTATTATTATTATTATTATTATTATTATTATTATTATTATTATTATTATTATTATTATTATTATTATTATTATTATTATACCCCTCTATGGTGGTCTAGTGGCTAAGGTACTCGGCGGCTGACCCGCAGGTCGCGGGATCGAATGCTGGCTGCGACGGCTGTATTTTCGATGGAGGCCAAAAAGGCTGTAGGTGCGTGTGCTCACATTTGAGTTCACGTCAAAGAACCCCAGGTGGTCGAAAGTTTTGGTGCCCTCCACTACAGTGTCTCTCATAATCATATGGTGGTTCTGGGACGTTAAACCATACATATCAATCAAATTTTCATTATTATTAGTGTTCTTGGTGCTACTGTTGCTGCTGTTATCTTATATACTATTGGCTGCATGGTTGTGTCTTTCGTTAACATTTATTTGAAAGTATCAATACATATATTGAAAGAATATTTATATATTGAAAGAATATTTTAAAGAAGAAAATGGCCCGCATTGCAAGATGTGCGTTCCACTTGTGTATTATTTTTATTTACACTACTATTGGCTACAAATTCACTCTCGCAGGCAAAACTTCAAGTATCAAAATTGCAATTAATACTGCACAGTTAAGTCTCGCGTAGCTATAGCTATGCAAAATCTACCTCTCAGCGGAGCCAGCAACAGAGACACAGTAAGTATATTCACTGCTACACAAAACCCACTTAACATTTGCAACAGAGGAAAAAAGCGAAGCCAGGGTCCGCGAATATGCCTAGAGTGGAAGAACACGAAACGAAACAATATCGCTATCATTCGCAACGAACCTGCGAACACTCGTGGTTGGCGTCTTGTTAATATGCCGGTGCGTCCTCTTATTTATAATGCAACTGTGCAGGAGAAAGTGCTGTACTCGTTATCAAAATAGCAAATCCTAGCACGAGCGAGAAACCCGGCACGAAATGCAATTCTAGGTAATATATAGCCCATCACAGAATAAAGAGGCAGTTTGATTATGATATCGTTTGGTTGGTTCGAACATCGCAACAGGTAAATTAACGTTCAATACCGACTAACGAAGTCATTCCATATCGCTCATCACCTTATAAACACGTGCACGTTAGTTTTGGTGATCGACATTTGTTTTCCTTTTTGAAGTAGGACTCAGAACGACAGAGTTAAACATTTGAGGCTGTTGTGTGTAGTTGTATGATAAGTACCAAGGGACTTGCCCAATTCGCCGCCCTGCCCCGCCGCGGTGGTCTAGTGGCTAAGGTACTCGGCTGCTGACCCGCAGGTCGCGGGTTCGATTCCCGGCTGCGGCGGCTGCATTTCCGATGGAGGCGGAAATGTTGTAGGCCCGTGTGCTCAGATTTGGGTGCACGTTAAAGAACCCCAGGTGGTCTAAATTTCCGGAGCCCTCCACTACGGCGTCTCTCATAATCATATAGTGGTTTTGGGACGTTAAACCCCACATATCAATCAATCAATCAATTCGCCGCCCTGCTTTAGAATATTTATTCGGGAACTATTATGACAAGCGCACTTTAACTCTCCTTTCGTGGTAATTACATAACCCTGTCTAGCTTCCTGCTCATCTGCGCCTTGCTTTCTCTCTATAACCTCTTCTAAAACTCTATACAATGTACTATCTACAGCGCGACGGGCCAAGGTCACTGTGAAGCCAGACGATGCACCTTGATCAGATGCTCATGGGATCATTATGTTCCCCGGGAACTCACAATTTCGCAGAGTGCCATGAGTCCGCTGAGCGAGAAGAAGTAGCCGAGGTTGTAAAAGCGGAAGCGCGAACATGGCTTGCGACCTCCGTGAGCCGCGTTGCCGACCACCGGCCGCTCGCTCATGGTGGCCACCACGGCCGCCAATCACGGGCCAGGGACAGCTTGCTGGTATACAGGCACTCGACGTGTCTGCGATAGAGAAAGCGATCGAGAAATGGCTTTCAAAATATACAGCACTCTATCTCAGCGTCGCTGCCACAACTACTGCTATCTTAGAGTCCCTGTCAGCTTGACAACGTCAGTGAAGCCTTCACATTTTGACAAGATGAGAGGGAGGGCAAGGAGCCTTTTTATTTTGACACTATTTGCTGAGAAAGAAAAGAGAGAGAAAGAAGTAAGTGAGAAAAGGACAAAGTACGAGGCTAGCTGAGTGCTGGGCACTTCAAGCAAGCGAAAGAAACATGACACACACTTCTTCGCATGCTACGGCTAATGTCCATGTGTATTAGGTACAGGTAAATTTTTACATGCACAATGAGCTCACGGACCTCACATTGTTCAACATTTCTAATCACCTGTAACCGCTCCTCTTGACCTTATTTCAAAACCCAGTCTAGCCTATATTTGACTCACAATTTGTCCTCCGGCGGGGTGCTAGTATTCTCACCCCCCCTCTCCATGAATTATAGGCACTTACGCTACACTTGTTCCTGTAGTCAGCAATATGAATACAAGCACTGGCTTAAAATAGTGGGAGGATAAGGGGGCTCTGACTCCCTTTGTTTTCAAGCATGAAGGAACCCTCTTTGTTAGTTGCCCCTTGGACTTTATTTTTCAAACATTAAATTTATTTCTTGAATCTTTAAGGGGTACAGACACCACAATTTCTAACTCCACTTAGTCGCGTTCCGCAGGACCCAATGAAATTGCTTTCTATTCCATACGCTTTTCGCTTTTCATTCATTCGCTTTTTTTCACAATGTGTTGCGAGGGGGGGGGGCATGTTAGTCGTAACACGACAAATAATTTGCTGCAGTGTGACAGATAATTACAGGCTCTTCATTACCCACCAGCCTCAGTTCCGGTTTGAGAAAGCCCCTACCCTCCAACAACCAGCCTCCGTTTGCAACTATCACCACCTATAGCATATACAGCGCTAGACCGCGTCAGTACACAGAGCTGTGACGCACTTCCACACGGTCTGCATGAAGAATTTATTTCAAACAGGAAAGCAGTGTCGCGGGACATAAAACTTTCAACGCGTGCGCCGTGGGCACAGACTCGCTAGCAGCCGCAGAGAAGTCTGTTGGCGCAAGCGCGGCAAAAGTATTTACGACTATGACGTCATCGTAAGTTATATCGGCTGGAGTGGGGTGACGTGACGGAAGTAGGGAGGTCATCAGCGAGTCGCTTTCGAGGATGTCAATGCTGTGAGGTGCAGCGTACAATTCTCTATCACGCACGCAATCATCAAAATTCATACAAAATACCTTCCAAGCCACATTTTCTGTTCATACATATACGCACGTTCACAGGAATCTATCCCATAGGCTCTTTCACCTGAAACATTTTGTTTTAGCATCCCTAGGATAGCAAACTCTCCGTATAACCAGCCCTGAAATCGGAAGTCCTTGAATGTAGAGTACAGGCTTTATGAAATGCTCATCCTTTTTTCTTGTTTCGTCTTTGTCCAGTGGCACTTTACGTTACATTGAACATATACCATCTCACCAAATTCGCTATCAATTTCAAGTTTTAGATGCTAAGCAGCTTAAGGCAGGGGCATTGTCCATCTCTTTCATGGCGTTCACACTCCCCCTGCACACGCGCGTCCCTTCGACTTCTCTCTCCTCTTTCACGTTCCCTCTCTTTCTCCTCTAAGAATCATCTACTCTACAGAGCAAGGCGCACGACAGGTGGTGCAACAGATGCATGCTCCGCTGGGGCACTGCGGTATATTTTGTGGTGTAAAATGATGGAGCACACCTCATTTTCTCCTGTACAACGCCGCGATGAGTGCCAGCGTCAACTCCGCCCTTTACGATAGGACGCCGAGAGCAGCGGCACTTGTAATCGCACATTATCTCTAAATAAAGACGTAAAAACTACATACATACAAAACATCTTTCCCTGTTCTCTTCAACATCCTCATTACATTTTCATTCGTCCTTTTTATGATGATGTGTAGGGCTTAATGGCGCAAGGGCCAACTGATGGCCAAATAGCGCCATTTCAGTAAACAGGAAATGTGAACAATGATATGGTATGCAGCTGTATAGGGGCCTTAAAATTCCTCGCGCTTACACGGGTAAAAACATAGAAGTATTAAAAGCATGGCAGTGGCGTGAAACATGTACAGTGAAACTTAAAAGAGAATTGTCGTGACAGTAAAACTATGCTGAAGATGTAACCACTGCAGCCGCAACATCAGTAGTGAGGTCGTGCTACGGATCAGCTCAGCATATGGGTTGAAAGCTATGTATAATGTTACGAGGCAGTGGGCATGGCTCCGCCATCGTAGACGCATCGATGAAGAAGAAGCGGATTCGGCGCGTGAGATCCTAGGGGACCTGGGGTGTCACACCTACCTGTAAATATTGCAAATACACTCGTTTCCCTCTTCCGCGTATTTGTGATCCACGTAAAAAATTGGTGGACGTGCAGAGTAACGAAACGCCTTACAACAAAGCTCCGCAGTGGTCGCCAAATCAGAGTTTCCGTGATGGAACACGAGACTGATCTCACGGCCACCTCTCCATCGGCCTCGGCGACGCATGTACCATCCACTGCAACTCCTCCACTGGCCTCACCCCGACCCACGTGCGTGCTGACGCATCCAAACACCCAGGAACGTTCTGCGGTACACACGAAATTGATGTTGACAACTGGATAGCTGACTACGAAAGTACCAGTGCGCTCAACCGGTATGACCCGACTCTCATGCTGGCCAACGTGCTGTTTTACCTGAAAGGCATGGCCAAAGTCTGGTATGAGAACTATGAGGAGAAGTTCGGCAGTTGGGACACATTCAAGAAGAAGCATCACGACTTATTTGGGAAGCCCATCGGTCGAAAGGCAGCTGCAAAGAACGAGTTGTCTATACGTGCTTAGACGTCCACAGAGCCGTATATCTCGTATATACAGGACATGCTGGCTCTCTGTCTTCAAGTCGACACTCATGTTGGAGTCTGATAAGGTTGGCCACGTCCTCAAGGCAATAGCGGACGATGCGTTCAACCTGCTAATGGTTCGGAACTGCACGACCATCGAGGAAATCATTCAGGAATGCCGGCGTTTTGAACAGGCCAAAAGCAGGCGTATTTCAAGATCATTCACTCGACTGCCGAACACCCCTGCGACGTCCTCCTGCGAAGATGGACTGACCTCTCATCGGCAGTCTTCACCGGTGTCGGAAATTACGCGAATCGTCCGGCGGGAAATCGAAGCAATTACACCTGCTCTTCCCACCAACGGCCACGTCGATTCTCAAGTACCTCAGGTTTGCTTGGTACACTCGATTGTGCGGGAAGAACTCAGAAATTTGGGCTTCGATATCTGCGCCGTTGCTCACTCTCGACCAATTGGCTTCCGTTCAAGATCACCACCTCGCCCCAGGTCACCGCCCCTAGGAACGGTCTTTTCCACGCTCTCGCAATCCGGCCGAATGGTGAACGGCGCATGATCGGCCGATCTGCTTTAACTGCCGCCGCATAGGGCACGTCACACCGTATTGCCGCAACAATTCGTCTTCGTCCCGAACACAGTATAACACTGCTCGCCGTGCCGACAGGTACCGCCTTTTCCAGCCTCCTGCGCCGATCCCCTACAGCTACCGCCGCCTTCCACCCTTCGATGTCCCTGATACGCAGCACAGCCGCTCTCCGTCGCCTCGACGTCATCAGTCTCGCTCACCGCCTGGACGTCGCCCGTCGTCCCCTTCTCCTCTACGACGACACACGACCTCCCTGCTCAATTTTCATCAGGGAAACTAAGCGGTGCAACTCTTAGAGGTGAAGCTGCATCCTCGATACCGACCTCAAATCCTCTGCTTGTACTGCCTACACGACGACATTTGATCGACGTAGACGCTGACGGCCTGACTGTTTCTGAACTTATTGAAACCCGGACGCATATTTCTGTGACGAGTGCCCGACTTCGTCGCCGCCTGAAGAAAGTTCTCACACCGGCTGCTTCTGGCATTATTCGTGTCGCCGACGGAAGAAGTCTCGCCATCAGAGGAATGTGCACAGAACGCATCACAATTGCCGATATCCCCCCATATCTGTTCTCTTTGCAGTTATTGAGCAGTACCCCAATGACCTGAATATTGGATTGGATTTCTTGTCCACTCATGCCGCTCTCATCGACTGTGCAACCGGCATTCTCTAACTTGAACTGCCTCGACTTGGGACTGTGCCACCCTCACCGTCACATCGCTTGTGCGCTGTTGATTATGTTCGGCTGTCACCACAAGCCACCACGTTTGTGGCCTTAACGATATCACCAGCTCCTGACGGTGACTACATAGTGTCTCCATTAGTGGATGTGCTCTTGGCGCGAAGTGTTGCTGTGCCACATGCCATCGTGACTATCGTGGACAACTACGTTCAGCTTCCACTACACAACTTTAGTAATTCGACCCAAGTTCTCCCGCAAGGCATTTCATTAGGCCATGTTTCCCCACTTGATGCATGTAACATCATGGTATTAGACCCTGAAGACTGCTCGGGCCCTATTGCGGCTAGCCGAGCAAACGCTCCTACCAATGAAATTACGATGATGATTGCCCCTGATCTTCTGCCCTGTCAGGCTGCGCAACTTCACCACATTCTGACCACCTACCGACATATTTTCGACATAGATGACCGCCCTTTAGGTCAAACGTCCGTCGTGCGTCATCAAATACATACCGGCGATGCTAGTTCTGTTAAACGGCGACCATACCGTGTTTCCCAGTCCGAACGCCAGGTCATACAACGAGAAGTCGAGAAGATGCTCTTCAAAGGAGTTATAGAGGCCTCTTCAAGTCTATGGGCGTCACCTGTTGTTTTAGTCTGTGGTAAAAAAATGCTGCCCTGGAGAGTGTGCGTCATGCTTTGACGTAGAAAATCGGTGTGCGGGGCCAATTTAGTATTTCAGGGTGCGCGGGAATAATCATGATGGTGATAGCGATAAAACTATGAGCTCGC